TATATATATATTTAAGATCCTTACATGGCATTTGGAGGCAGTGCTGTAAGATAGATAGAAGGTGGGGGTAAGCATCTGTGTTGCTCAGTTTCTTCTTGATCAGCTCAAACATCTGGCCAGCACTCTTGGTGTCCACGTGTGTCTGAACAAAAAAACGTACATTAATTTTTCTCAAATAGGACACACATGAAGTCAGGAGCCTTGTAAACAAATCTAATAATACCATGCTGTTCTGTATATAATAAGTGCTCTTTAAATTTAAGGACATAATATTATGCATATAGGTAAAATATCTTACAATGTCAAAGCGTTTGGCCAGTTCTAACTCATCCTCATTCCGCACTATCTCAAAAAAGTCCAGATGTCTGAAACAAACATACACACACACACACACACACACACACACAAACACACAAACAGCCTTTCTATTAGAAGCAATGGTATGATGCATATACTTATTGTTAGGTGGAAAATGAGCCCCACTTTAACATCCTAGTGTTCTGTACCTGTCAAGTGTGGCATTATCATGTGCTCTCAGCTTCTCGATGACTGGCTGAATTACTAACATCAGAAACTCATACCTAAGATGAAGGCGAAACTCTAGACTGTCCTTTGAGAGAAATAGAGGAAATCATCATGTTAATAATGTATATACTGTATATCATACACATTTTTTTTATTTTTAGGGAAGTTTTGTCATCAGCTGACCTCTCCAACCCCAGCATTCAGCACAGCGTTTATGAATGACATGATGGCTGTCTTCAGATTTACTTCATCCCTGTAGTGTCCTGTACTTCTGTCCAGCTCGTTTAAAAGAGACTGAGTAAAAAAATACAAAAATATATAATTAATAACAAATTCAATCTACAAATTCAATCTAATTCAAATAATTTTTTTTCCACCAAATATCTTTTTTTCCTATCAGAGTATTGCATTATCTAAGCAACATGCTACAAGTAAATGTTTAATGTAAGCATTGTAAAGTTGTATTTTTGTGCGTACTTCAGGTAAAGAGAGCTATTTGTCTGATATGTGTGAATGACTCCTGATAAAGTTGCCCATGTAAAGTATTAAAGTATTAAAATAAATAAAGTATTACGTTTTACACCAAATGCCCTTCCTGCTGCAACCCAGCCCTGTGCACTAACTCGTGCAACCCCAGTGCTGGGACACACTCACTCACTCATTCACACACAGACACACACACACACACACACACACACACACACACACACACTCACTCACTACAGCCAATTTACTTTGTCCAATTCACCTATACTGCATGTCTTTGGATTGTGGAAACCGGAGCACCCGGAGGAAACCCACACAGACACGGGGAGAACATGCAAACTCCACACAGAAAGGAATCCTGGCTCAGCCGGGACTCGAACCAGGGACCTTCTTGCTGTGAGGCAACAGTGCTACCCACTGAGCCTGAGCTACCCACTGACCACTGTAAATAAACTTTTTTTTTTAACTGTTCAATTGTTTTCCTACTGTACCTAATAGGTTGCTAAGGACTATAAATGACAGATTCTCATCACAGCCCCTGTTTTAAAGTCAGTGGAGACAGGTGGGAATGTTCTCTGATATTTCTCTTGAATGGGTTGCTAATGTCTGCTTATGGTGCTTATTGTGTCAAGAGTGCTCAGAGATCTATTGGGTCACTAGGAATCAACCATGCTTAAAAGCTAATATTTCAAACACTGACATTTGTTGTTGCCAGGCATGTCAACTACACATGAATAAACACACAGTAAAGACAAATCACCCTACATATGTTGCATACGATGCTCAATTCCTTTCTTACAAATCTCTCATTAAAAGCAACTATACCTGGAAGCGAGTCCTCTCTGCAGCATACTTCTGGTAGTGTACCATTGCTTGTAATACTTTCTTATGCCCGTCGGGCACCAAGCAAACAGCGCCCAGGATCTCCAACACAGCAACTTTGGTCTTGATGTTGTCCTGGCGGAGGCTCTGGGAGATAGTGTTGATGCTCTGCGGGTGGGCCAGTACATGGGCACGGCCTTGGGAGTTGTTCATCAAGGCTTTTATGCAGCCGATGATGGATGTATGTATGCGGCTCTCTGAGGTTTCATAGTCCATGCTCTTCAGGAAGTTCAGAAGACACGTCAAGCCATCCAACTCGATGAAGCGCGTCACAAACCTGAAGGGAGATTCATCAAAGGTTTGTGAGGTTGGTTTTTCCAATGCCTAGAATGTCAGGAAACATAACTATCACTGCCACACTCTCCCTGCCACCGATCCAACAAAACTTGGTGTTTGTCAGGGCAATGTGAACTTTAGAACAGGGCCTAAACTATGAAAGCCCATTTGAGATCCCATGGTCTTTTACCCAAGGAGAATGACATATATTGGCATAAAGAATTCTATAAATAAAGTTGTGTCAGTTGAATGCAAAAGATCTTAGGAAGTATTTGGTAAAACCAGAAGCGACTATCTTTAAAACTTCTCTTGTGAAAACATTCTGATTTGCAGACATCTTGGCAAAAGTCCCAGATGGCTTCTTTATATACTCAGCTGCATAAATAAATAACACATAAAACAGTATACTGAACAAGTCAACCAAAAAAAAAATGCAGACTTGGCGTGTATCCTCACGTTCATCATATTGAGCTAAACCCAGGATTCATTATTCAGATTAATTAAGGTCATTCATGTCATTAACCCCTTCTCAAGAGTGGCCGATCAAGTGACACATCGTTAACACTTACGTATAGAGGGTCTATGACATCACCTTTGGAGACCCACTGTCTACTAATAACAGAGTTTCTACCAACTCCATTCC